GAGGCCCTGCTGCCGCTCTCTGCTTAGGTCACGCAGGGCCTGAGCACGGTTACCTGTCCCGTTATCCGCTTGGAGCCTAGCCCGTGCTGGTGCCGGTACAGGTGGGGACTGCAGAGCGCCTCCATAACTCCCACCTCCGTAGTGCGTTTGTTGGCTCTGGTTAAGCTGCTGTCCCTGCAATTAAGATATGGCATTGCTGGCCTGCTTCCACCATACAGCACAGCGTAAAAGGGAATGTGAACAAGTCCCTGAAGCAGCTGCTTTCCGCTGCCCGCTGGGGGAAATCGGGCTCCAGCAGCTGCCCCAAGAACAGCTACACGTCTGGGTTTTTTTTTCCCCTCTAAAGATTTTGAGAAGCCTGCTGGATCAGAAGGGAGGACCCTTCAATTCAGGACAAAATGGGAGGCAGGAGCATACTGGAACAAGAAGCCTCTGCGTACAGCATTTGGTATGGTGAGTAGGGTGACGAGCACCGGTTCACACCTATGCTGAACTACCTTTTCCTTTCATAAGGTGATACAGGCTGTTAATAAAAAGTTTTTAGTGTCAGATCTGATAGATTAGTAGATACACAAGACAGATACATTATAAATTATAGCCCAAAGACTGTGGCTACAAGGAAGGTGAAGACCTAATACAGGGTTGTGACTACAGCCAGATGATTTGCAGATAGGACTGCTGAGGGTTAAGGAGCAACTTAGCACTAGCCTCAGTGGAACTGAAGGTTTAAGTTGTGCCTTCAGACAAACTGCAAAGGGACAAGTCATGGAAGAAGCTTCTGTAGCTTGGCGACCTTCCCACTGCAGTTTGAGGACTGTTCCAGTAACCATTGCAAATAACAGAAGATGGAGCTTGTGGAACTACTGGTGCACAGGGCCCTTGCCAAACTGGTGCTTAGGGACTAAGAGGTGACAAAGGGGTACAAGATAATTTTCTCTGATGCTTTTCTACTTTCATACTTTCAGCCAAGGATTTGCTACACCTGTGGTTTGTGTATATAATGACCCTCAGCTGCTGTCTGTCTTCCAGGTGCTTGCTCAGTCTCCACTTAGATCTGTGCACATTTCTGAATCCACACCACCTTCTGGCAAGAGGCCCCCAGGTCTGCCACCCTGCTCCTGAGAACGTGGACTTCAGCTGCTTGAACAGACTTTGGCTTCACTCTTCCTAAGGCTTAGACCTAAAGAAAATTCTTTTCATTCCCTGCCACTTCCAACCAAATGCTTTTGAAGACAAAGTAGCATTGGTCTATAACAAGATACATCAAGTCAGCAGATAACTCCCCAGTTACCTAGCAGCCGAATTAACAATGAAGGGAGAAAAAGATAGGTAAATCCGTGCACATCGTACAGATTTTTCTGAAGTATATAATGGTTTTTGTAATGATGGACTAGAGGGATGCCAGGTTTGACTCACCGTAACTTCTCCTCTAAAGGAACCAGTACCAGTTATGGAAAACTAGAAGCTAGAGTTTTTAAAAGTAGTTAAGTGCCTGAATTACTTTTGCAAATCCTGGCTAAATTGCAAACAAAAGGCCACTTGGTCAGTAAGTGTCATTAGTATGGGGTTAAGTCATCATCAGTGTGAAAAAGAGACAAATCTGCTCTTAAGGCAGGTTTTGATGCATTTCAACGAACATTTAAATCATTCACGCTTGAATCACAGATAAGTGGAGGGCAGGGGGCAAGCAGTGAGCAGGAAGATGTATTAGCAGGCACTCTTAGCACTAACTTGAAAATTTGGTTATGAGGAAAAATCTAAGCTGGAACATACTGAAATCGTCAAGTAGTATGTGAGAACCTGGGCGTCACAGACTGAAGGATGCTGGAAGCCTGGCCAAAAAATGCAGGACTCTCAGATCAAGTTCAGGGATGCAGGCTGGAACAAATGTCTGTGAAAAGTATGTCAGAAATGACTGAGCGGGAAGAACTTGCACAGAGGATCTCAGGCCTGGAGCAGCAGCGGGATCTTGGGTCTGGGCCAGAAATGCACAGCAAAGGTTACAGAAAGTACTGGGAATCCAACTGTGTCAAAGCCAGCTTTATTCTGACTGTGATGCCACAAAACCACGTTCTGCATGCCAAACCCACAGTTGCTCCTAGCGGTGCTTCCCGGTGCGATTGAAGCGCCTATACAAGTACCGGATCCTCTTGTTGAGGTTGTGGTAGTCCTCTACAAACATCCGATCTCCCACCACCTGCTTCTTTCGGATGCACCTCTGCAGCTCATTCCCCCGCCAGCCTCGCAGCCACTTGGGCCCCACAATAAGGTTCTTCGGGTGGATCTGGAAGTCGCCTGAAAACAGGAGGGCAGAGTAGAGAGGCTTGAAGTCAGGCCCTGGAGGAGGCTGTTCTCAGGGCCGCAGCCCCAATCCCCCCCGCCCTCTCGCTGGAGGAGCCGCTCGCCCGCAGGTGGGTCCAGCCTCCCTCCCTTCCTTCCTGCCCCGGGGCCACGGCGCGGGGCGGCGTGTCTTACCCAGGATCCCCACGTTGTCGTAGACCCCGAACAAGGCCCGTTTTTCCGTCCACCGAT